TCATGCCGGTCTGACCTTCCCGTAGATATCAGCCAACCCCGCGCTGCAGCGCATCGAGCTTGCCCCAGACACGGAACTCCTCGGCGCTCACCTCTTCTTAGCCGAAGCCCGGAAGCACCCGCGCCTGCTTGAGCTCATTCGCGCCGGCACGCCGCTCATGCGTGCGCGCGCACACACTACCACCGTCGACCTGCGCTTCGGCCCTGTCGTTGAGACTGGCCAGCGCGCGGCACAATGCGAGCGGTCTGCGAAGCCGTCAGGCAGCGCGCCGACGAGGCGAGTCGATCCCCGCACCGGCATCCCGTTGTCGAACGCCCCTAATTCGTCGCGCGCGTACATGCCAGGCCCGCGAGGCGTGCCCCCCGCCCGGCGCATGAGCGCGGTGTGAAGACGTAGCGCCCACGCGCTACGGCGAAGGAGAGAAGGCCTGAAGACGATACCCCCAACTATACCCTGTCGCGCATGGACATGCACATGTCGAAAGTTTGACGCCCTTCGTTCATGTGACTTTTTGTCGTCGTTCTCGCTGTCGTTGCTCTGCTTTGTACTGTTGCATGTTTATCGTGATATCTGCTCTTGGACACAAGTTCTCAAATCTCCGGTTCCCTGTACACTATAACATACCCAAATAAACTCGGGAGCTTAAACGTCACTAGAATCTCAGCCCTTCTTATCGGCTGAACATGTCCAAGAATAATTTAAGAGCTGCTCAGGGTGCTAGGATGTGCCCTGTCAAACAAAACACCGGAGTTTGTATGTGCTGCATGCTGAAGGTAAGATACGAGCCAGCGCGACGTGCAGGCCTTGAAACGGCCGCCGACACCACCATCTTCTCCCGGGCACGCCGCAAGAAGTCAGGAAGCTCTGTGTCCGATTGTCCCTAAATGACGCAGGCGCGCGGTTAGAGTTTGGTACGATGTTAATCCAGTGCTCCGGTCGGCCGTCTCGCGCCTTACTCCAGGCTTGAAGCTCGATTTGCCGAATCTGCAAAGGCAGCATCCTGCCACGTCCGTACCGCCAAATGCATCTTGATTACCCGTCACGTATTTCCGTGCTCTCGAACGTGTGCTATCCTGCAGATCCGGGCTCAGTATAAAAGTCATACTTTGATCGACATCTGCAGTGAATATCACGGGCAATCTAGAGACGCCGCGCGGCCTGTGTCGGGCTGCTTGGTGGACCGACAACGAGTGGAGCGCAGCTCATATTGAAGGGGTCGGCACGCTATCTCGATATGCATCTATGCGCACGAGTGTACAACTTTCCGCCACGGATTGCTGACGGGCCGTGCACCTTGCCTCGGCCGCTATGCCTATTATCGCAGGTCTAAGTCTTGTCTACGATCCCGCAAGTGCGTTGATTCGCGCTGGAGACAGCCCACTGGGTCTCATCATCCAAGTACGCACTGCCCAGAGTCTATCTTGCCACTATCAGCGACCGCCCACACGCATGGACCAGGACGCCCTCGCGTCTTTGCAAATTCTTATGAGATCCTTTTTGACAAACCCTCGAATTCACCTGATTGTGCGTGCGCGACATGCCGACAGTGAGGGTCTCGACATTCGGGCGATCACTCAGATGGCGTTGATGAGATGGCCACAGCGAGAGGCGCGCGTGCCAGCCCGATCAGGCGATGCCGGCGGGCGTCGTCTGCGCGAGATCACCGTGAAGTACTAGCTGCGACTCGGATCCGCAGCTACGCATCGTCTTCGCTTGTGAACCCAGATTTTCTGTCGTCAGGCATCATGGCGAGCGCGGACTCGGATTATGTGGTTCGGCTTCGACAAAACCGTGCTGCTGAGATGAAGAGATACCTGAGGGACCCCGTCGCAGCGTTAAACATGCTGACGACCTCTCAGCCTCAATTTCAAGTCGAAACGCCGCATCTAGCAGCCCGGACACGATGGAGCCCACTGCGTATAATCTGAAAAGCTCCCCCGAACTCGAAGGACATGGGACGACGATTCTGGACTATGCTGTCAGACTGCAGACCGGAAGGATGAACGAATTTGAGTTTTGGCGCACATTGCCATTGAATTTTGAGGAAGTATCCAGGACGGGTGTTGACCAGGCCTTTGGAATAAGATATGCGGTCGCAGCAAGGTACTCACGCAACAGATTTTGGCATCAAGCTCCACCATCAGACCGTACAACAATGCAAACAAGAGTCGCGTCTATTATCCGAGAGGCAATCTGCTTGGTGGATGCAGGTAAGTCCGCATAACCCTAGCTGACGAGCTGCGTTGACAGGAGTTTCAAAGCGGTATCCCCGCTGGGATCTTATGGCGCCGTGTTGTTTGCGTTCATCGTCTACTTTGAGCTAGAATTTGACGAATGGGAAGAGAACGGTGCGAACGGATGGGGGTACAACATGAAATCGTGTGTGGCCTCATCGATGGCGCAGCACCAACACTGACTTTGACCCAGGTCTCTCCTGAAAGCTGAGCACTATCTCCCGAATCCGCCACATCCAGGCGTTCATGCGAACGAACACGGTCCAGATGTTCCCATATCTTCGCGACGAAGTCCAAAAATGCTGCGATATGTACAGCCCATATGGTAGTGGTGGTGCTTCGAGTGTTGCTGATACTCTTGAAACTGTTACAGCCCGTGAGCAAAGTGGTCATCGAAGCATGCGGCCAGTCTGGAAATTCCTACGCGGAGCACACAGCCCGATCATTCTCGTGCCCATTCACTAACTGCATTGTCTATACTGACAGAGACCTCAACACTTCCTCCCGCAAACTTGGCGCCACCGAGTTCATCGGGACTGTAGACGCTAGAAGCCAAAGTACGCCATCTCTCTTCCTGCTGCGCCATCTTCTGACTCTGACATCCCCCTAACATTCAGGAGGTAGCACGGCCCCCGCGTATCTCACTCCTGAGGGCCTCGCGCGGACGAATCCAACAGTGATAGCCAACATCAGAGCACAACGTATCGCCTCTGAGCACGGCCATGCAGAGACAGATATCCACCCGCGGTGGGTGTTGTCTTCGCTTCCATTCCCTCGTCCTCCGGGCATGGTGTACGCGCGGCGCAAGAGGTGATCCTATGTATGGGCTCGGTGGCCACCCTGCACCTACTCATACTTTCTAGGCTGGGACCCACCACAGCGCTCAAACAGCCCGGGACCCCGGTCGTCAAGGATCTGCCACACGTCGGGCGCGACCTCTCTGATGAGCATATTCATGTAGTATATCCTGTTCCCGAACCATGCAGCACTTTTGCATCTCCGTCCCAAACCCTCGCTCCCTGTCGAATCACAGTCGGGTGGCATGACTCAAGCCTAGGAGTCACCTCCGACTTCATCGTGGCACTTCAAAATTCATCTCCAGATACTGAATGTAATAAAGGGAATGGCGGGGCATTGAACTCTAGCACTGACACTAGCCCGCAGCACATCTCCTGCGGCTCACTGGTCCTCCGCACAAGGCGGGACGCCGGCATCTCGCCCAATTACTTCAAACGCCCCCTGCACGGCGCGCTCGCGCTCATGTGGTAGCTCCTCACCCCTATCGTTCATCGCCGCGACCGCCGGCGCGTTCATCCGCGCGGATGACCCTGCGTATGCCCGCCCGTCTCTTCACGATTTCACCAGCTGATCGCTCAGCGAATCGCCCGTTCGTCAACGCTCCCAACATGGAAACGCCGACCTTGACGCCCGATGCCCCGTATTCACATGCAGCCTACAGGATGCGTACGGTGCAGACGCGGCGCCCGCCGTTCGCACATCGAGATCGCGTGGGACGCGGTGATCTCACTCGAGTATGGGTCCAGGAAGCCCCCGCCCGGGTGTAACACTGTGAGGACCTCACATTCGTGCGTCGCTCGCTCACCACTCGTATTCGGGAGGCGCTGGCTGTCTGCGTTCCGGCTGTTGTTCTGGCTGGGTCCGTCTCCAGTGTCGTACGTCGTGCGTTGCTTTGTGTCTTGGAACCCATATAACGCGATGTCAACCCCGTTTCCAAGCTTTGCGTCGCAGGCCCTCCGCCCATCGCGCCCACAATTCGCTTTCGGACCGACTTGTTGGCTTCCCTCACTCGACGTTCGATGTGCGGCGGGCTCGCAGAGTGCAATCGCGCTGCGACCTGAGCGCATGGGCCCATCACTCTCGCGTCGTGCGATGTCTGGGACGCACCGCGCACCGACACGAAGTAGGTCTGCTTCCCTGGTTCCTCCGCTCCACTTTCGCGCCCACGCTCACTTTGCCCATGGCAGCTACTTCGCGTCGGCGCACAACATGGACATGCTCGCCTCGCTGCTAGACCTCGAGCCAAGTCAGGACGGCGTGCTCGGCGTGGAGGACATATGCTGTCCGGGCAATGAGGACCCCGGTACGGTATATTTGTGTATACCGGTTGGATGTCGATTGGACTGATCACTGGGATGGCAGATCTCAAACGATACGCTTCGGGAGTGGGTCCGCGCGCATGTGGCGGCGATCATCCATCCGATGCCTACCCTCTCGTCTGCCGTCTGTCTTCTCGCGTGCTGCGTGCGCACGGGACTGACGACCCGTGCGCACAGGTGTCGACAGTGCGGATGGACGCGGGGTCGGGAAAGAGTGTGGGTGATCCGGAGTGGCGTGTGCACGACGTGAAGGGCTTGCAAGTCCCAGATACGTCGGTGCTTCCGGGACTGGTCTCAGGACAAACATGTGCGGTTGTCGTTACTGCTTGCTGTGGCGGAGCGCGCGGCGAAGCTCATCGGAGGAGTATTATAGCTTTAGCCGTTGAGTATCGTCGCGGAATCGTGCTACTTCATTGTGGGTCCTGTAGCATAAGTTGCGACTCTGGTTCGACATGTGGCTATCTAGTTGACCATGACGAGTATACTTATGTACAGAGTTTGGCTCTGCAGTAACTAAACAGTATACTGTCCTGGGTGTAATCCCCTACACGTTTATTTCATACTTGGCGGCGTCGAGATTTTGTCAGGTAGAATTGACTAGATGCGCTGCGTGGCGGATCCCACTGCACGCAAAAGGAATAAAAGGTGATGCCCATTGGCTGGATTGAACAACCGACCTCACCATTGCAGCTTACGTAAGCTATTACGTAATTACGAGTGGCGCGCTCTACCACTGAGCTAAACGGGCGTTGCAAGAAGTGTAACGTTCACGGCCATGTCCAGATCCTCGCTGCGCAGTGGATGATGATCAGCGGGACGATATAGAGCGAAGCGTGTTCATGGGTCGTGCAAGCGCAGATGTGGGAGGATACAATGTTGTTGGGGGAGATGTCGATCATGTTTTGTTCATGGTGATCGCGACTGACGTGGAGGAGTCGAGGGGTGCCAGCGCATCGGGCGCGCGTGCGCACAGCCAGTGTTTCCGAAGATGCGCAGGCGTTGCGCCGCGATTCGTACTGAAGGGTGCTTAATTATAACAATCGAGTGTGACAGTGTGACCTAACAATCAGGTGTAATTGATAACAATTGGACTTCACTGTGACGCGACAGGACCTGTGTCGAGTAACAATTGGTCTTTCAGGTGCAGCAGCATAGAATATAGGGCGGCGACAGGGACTACAATGAGCTGCAGCATCAAGTTTTTCCTTTAATGTTGTTGTCCAATTGTCGGGGTAATCCCGGGTTCCAGGGGTAAGGAGGGATTTCTGAGGCCTTCGCGCCCCTCGGACACCCAATCCTTCGAGCACCTAGCACGTGCTTGAAGGCGATCCTCATGTGGCCATTGGCGCCCCGCAGCACGCTGCCAGCGCAGCGGCTCGATCGCCCCTCTGAGGGGGCCGCCCGCATCTAGTGCTGTAGTTAGCGCAGCGGACGCTGGATGTGAGGAGGTCTCGGTCTCCTCGATAGGGGCGAGCTGGATCGCTCATGCTTGGCATCGCCAGCAGCCCGGATTTAACTCGCGGGGCCGCTGCCAGGAGACCTCGCCCGTCTCCTCCCCGCTGATCCGGTGAGTATCCAGATCCCTTCTCCGCGCTCGAGAAGGTACTCATCCAGCCCGCTCTTCATATAGAGACGAGCATCTACGTGCGCGCATTTACCCGTTTGGGACAGCACCGCGCACGCCATTCCCGAGCGCACGCTCTCTTCGCAGTCGTTTCGTCGACATCCTATCCATCTCGCGCCCCTCGATACATCATCATCCATAGATGACTCATGGGAACCCTCATCGAGAGAGTGATGCGTCTGCCACCGCCGGATCTTCTCAGCCAACGATCAGCTCGGGTAGTTCACTCAATACCTCGAACGTTGGGACTCGATCCGCGCAGCTTCAAAGCCTCGTCGACCAGGCTATCGAACGTAGAGTATCCCTCCAAGAACTGGTATCATCTCTCCAGGCTAACGGCGCTACGGGTGCCGAAGCTACCGAATGTGTTACCCAGTTCGAAGCTCGTCTCGAACGTCAGAGAGAGAAACAGGCCGACGCTCGTCCAGCACCTCGTGACGATGACGGAGATAGCGACGATTCGAGTGACCCCCAAGCCAGTGGACAAGTTGGAGGCGAGAACATCAACACCATTCCTCAGCTCTCTCGTGAACAAGCCGATGCGCTGGCCTGGCGTCTTCTCAAAGAGAAGGCTAACGCAGGTCGCAGTGAAGCTACCGGAGGGCTATCTGGAGGACCTGAGACTACTCTCGACGGCGTCCTCTCTGCACTGTTGTCGAGCGGAGCTGGCGCTCAGCCTCAAGTTCAGGCGTCTGGTATTCCGGCTGCTGTCCTCGCCGGAGCTCCCCATCTCAATCGCCACACCGTCATCGCCCCTGATCCTCACGTTGCTGAAACTTGGCGACTTCGCTCCCTCTATACGAGTGAAGGTGCATCCGGACCGCTCATCGATCTCGCTCAGCAGCAAATTCTTGAAGTGCCCCTTCCTCGCACAATTTGGAAGGACATCATTAGTGACAACTTCGTCAACTTCGAGAAACTCCATGCTGCTATGGACCCGGGATATAATCACGAGGATGAAGCGAAGGACCTGGCGGGCGGCTTGGCTATTATCCGTAAAGATCACGCGTCCGCAAAGAAGCCACTTAGGACCGAAGGAGACTGGGGTCGCGTCTATGATGCTTGGATGGAAGGTGTTAAAGTCTTCTTTCCTCATCGTGCGGAGGAGCTTGTCGAGTACAAGAAGATTGTTCGAGAGTTATTCCGACTCATGCCGGATCCATTGGTACCAATTCAGGTCGACCTTGGTATCCGCGACAGCTACTCTAAGAACCGATTCCGGCTCGATGATCGTAATCGGCATACGATCTATATTTCGACTCAGCTGTCTCGTACCCTGTTTAAAGGTACCAAGCGCCCTCTCACTTCGCAAGCTTCGAGTTCTCCGATGTCTCCGGCTAAGCGATCTGCGACAATCTGTCGTAATTGGAACCTCAATCTCTGCCCTGGTGACACCTGTGCTCACCGTCGTCGACACGGAGTCTGCGCCGAATGCGGTAATGATCACAAAGCCATCGACCAGCCAGCATGCCGAGCTGCTCTCCAGAGTAAACTCGGAAAGAAGTCGGCTTGAGGTGACAATCAAAGCACGTGAGGCTCTTGCTGGCCCTCGAACATTTATACCCAACTCGGACGAGCCTCGCAAGAGGAAGCGGGACCTCGGCGATGATCTCCCCAAGTTCCGACGAGGCTTTGGCTGGTCAGGACTCAGTCCCCCTTCCATTTCGCCGGCTGCGCTTTATACAGAGCACGCGCCACCATTGCCTACACCCCCCGACCATTTACTCCATGACCCAGATGTGCTTGCTACGCTGCGAGCCTGTGCCGATAGAATCAAAGTTGACACTCCGTTCAACATTGACAAGTTCCAGTCCTTCCTTTACGACCACCCAAACCAACCATTCGTTCGCTCTGTCCTTAACGGTCTCCGAGAGGGCTTCTGGCCGCTAGATGATGGCGACTGGCTCATTCACCTCGACGACGTCGCGGAGAACTATTCTTCGGAGGAGGAGGATCTGGACGCGATACGTGTGTTCCGGGACAAGGAACAACAAGCGGAACGTTGGTCTTCCGAATTTCACCGTCTGCTGCCAGGTATGAAAACATCTCCGATGTTCGTCGTCTGGCGCAACGACAAGCCACGAGTGGTGACGGATCACTCTGCCTCGGGCTTGAATGATGGCATTCCACGCCTAGAGGCGAAAGTTCGATATGACAACATGCACGACTTCGCCCATGAACTTCGAGTCGCCAGAGCTCAGCACCCGGATCGTCAACTCGTCGTATACAAAAGTGATGTCGCATCAGCATTCCTCAACCTCCCAGCACATCCTCTTTGGCAGCTTCGCCAGGTTGTAGTTGTTGATGGCAAGTTCTATATTGTGCGTCGTCTCGTCTTTGGCAACCGCGCATCGCCACGCATCTGGTGCGCGGTCTCTAGCCTCATGTGTTGGATCGCGGTCCGAAAACTATCCATTGATGGACTTAAGGTCTACATGGACGACTTTTTCGGTTGGGACTTTGCTGATATGGTCGTCCGCTACCGTGGTCTCCGTGTTCCGCCACGCCAAGCACAACTGCTCATCCTTTGGGATGCTCTTGGCTGTCCATGGGAGCCGAAGAAGCAATTGGCTGACTCACCTCTGGTCGTCATCGGGTTTTGGGTCGACCCAAACCTTGGCACTATCTCTCTTGCGCCGACATCAGTGACTAGGATCATCGATGCTATCAAAGCCTTTCTAAAATCGACTAAAGGAAAGCAGCCTCTCCGCGAGTGGCAGCGCCTTGCTGGCCATCTTAACTGGCTCTTGAATGTCCTTCCCTGGGGGCGTCCCGCCTTGACCGAACTCTATCGAAAGACGGCAGGAAAATTGAAGCCCGCGCTATCAGTTCGCTTCAACCGTGAGGTCATTGACGACCTTAAATGGCTTATCAAGATCATCCCTCAGTCTATTGGTGTTCGTTTCATCGATGATGGAAAATGGTCCTTGTCTGAAGCTGACATGGTTATGTGGTCTGACGCCACGCTCGCCAAGGCGATTGCTTTCGTCTATTCGAACAGAGCTTACGTCTATGAAATACAGCCTCCGCCTCCAACCGCAAAGCCCGACATTTTCTTTATGGAAATGATTGGCGTCCTCTCGGCGCTCTACCACGCTGCGACGATGTCGTCACCTCCAAAGCGTGTGCTGATCTGGAGTGACAGCCTCAACTCGGTTGATGCCTTCGATTCTCTTGCTGTGGCAGAACCTCTTCACAATGCTCCATTACGTGCCGCTGCGGCGATTGTCCTTTCTACCGGAATCGACGTGCGCGTCCGTCATATAGACGGTAAAGACAACATTCGGGCAGATATGCTGTCGCGCAAGATGTTGTCCGAATTCTCACGCCGATTCCCTGCTGACCGCGTCCGCATATTTGAGCCACCTCGTGAGCTCTTGCCGGCGCGATGGAGGAATTGGTTTTAGGTTCACGGGGCGGGGCTGTGTCGCGTCGTAAGCCTCGCCCTGTTATGTCTCTATCGGCGCTCGACGACCTTTGTCGATTCCTCCAATCCCGCGCTATCGAGCCCTCGACTGTCAAGCACTACGCAACTGGTGCGCGCGACTACATCACTTTTTGTATCACCCATGATCTTCCGCTCGATCCGAGCCCTCTAACACTCGCGCGATATATCGCATATACGTCACAAACCATTGCCTCTGCCCAGAAATATCTTACGGGAGCTCGGCACTTCTTGCGTGTGCTCTACCCTGATTTCGAACAGAACCGCAAGCATCCCCTTGTTCAGTCGGTGACATCAGGAGCACGCAAAGTGCGCGCAGATCCTGTTCGTCGCAAACTACCCCTGCGTCCACACCACTTGCAGCACTTCCTCCTGGCTGCGCGTACATCCCATGACTACGACGACATTCTGTTTGCGACAATTCTCTCCTGCGCATTCTACGCTTGCCATCGTATTGGTGAGCTTGTCTGGCCAAACGACAAGTCTCTCCGTGACTGGCGCAAGCTCGTAAAACGCGGATCTGTTGTCTTTGCACCGACAGACATCTCATATCATCTGCCTTATCACAAGGGTGATCGCTTCTTTCGTGGTACAACCATCCTTCATCTCCAACAGCTCGTTGCTTGCCCTGTTATCCTCTTACGGGAGTATATTACTCTTCGTGATGCTCGACACGGTG